GCAACTAATTAATGCATGTTAATATTAATTTTTCGTAGTTGTTAACAGTAGGAGAAAGAAAAAAAAAAACGAAAAGGCAATGTCATCTAAGGTCAATGTCATTTTAAAACTTCCCTGGCGTCTGCATTTTCTTCTTATGTTTGGCTTAAAGTTCTAACACATTGCTTGAAAAATATATATTTTCTGCCTTTTAGTTGTTTCGTCTAGTTGCTTTCTATTGTTCGTTTCTTCTTTCTTTATTATTTTTTTTTTGTTTAGATTTTTATTGGCTGCCTGACTAACTCTTTTTAAATTGTCTGGTGTTGTTTGCAGAGTTTAATAGGAAAGGTAAATTCTTTTGTGCGAGGGTCAACATAAAAGTTTAACTAAAAAAAGATTACTTAAATTTATCAATAAATTTATACTTTATGTCAATTGAGTTATTGATTTCTGCTTATTATTATTTTTGGTCTCTTAAAAAAAAACAAATTTTCATACCTATAATTACATCTTGACCCTCGTATCCTCATTATATTAACTAAATTTCAGTTTAGCTGAATAGACTCACGAAACTAGTTAAATACAGAAAACAGAAGCTAAAGAAAATTATTTAACTATAGTACAAAATCTTTTCTTTAATTTATTTTAATAATTTTCTGTCTGTAAACCTCAACATTCCGACATGAAAGTTATAAAATTTTTAATCAAAAACTATTTTTTTTAATGAATCACACATCACATCACCATCAACTGCAATTGTCTTTATCTCGGCTTAATTGTATAACATTTCTTTGGAATAATATGCGAAACATTTTAATTAATTGGCCATTTAGATCAAACAAAATTAAGTAATTTCTTGAAATTATATAATTTTCCATAAAATTTTATAATTTGCTTATTTTTATTGAAATTAACCTTAAATCACAATGGATATCATCCCATTCTAAAGGTGAGTTCACACCTGGCAAATATTTGAGGAAAAAGGTGTAATCACAATTTTTTATATAATCTAATCTGTAGTTTAGTATATAGTGTAGTCTATAATCTAGTATATAGTCTAGTCTGCACTCTAGTCTATAGTCTAGTCTGTACTCTAGTCTAGTCTATAGGCTAGTCTATAGTCTAGTCTATAGTCTAGTCTATAGTCTATAGTCTAGTCTATAGTCTAGTCTATAGTCTAGTCTATAGTCTAGTCTATAGTCAAGTCTATAGTCTAGTCTATAGTCTAGTCTATAGTCAAGTCTATAGTCTAGTCTATAGTCTAGTCTATAGTCTAGTCTATAGTCTAGTCTATAGTCTAGTCTATGGTCTAGTCTATAGTCTAGTCTATAGTCAAGTCTATAGTCAAGTCTATAGTCAAGTCTATAGTCTAGTCTATAGTCTAGTCTATAGTCAAGTCTATAGTCTAGCCTATAGTCTAGTCTATAGTCTTGTCTATAGTCTAGTCTATAGTCTAGTCTATAGTCTAGTCTATAGTCTAGTCTATAGTCTAGTCTATAGTCTAGTCTATAGTCTAGTCTATAGTGTAGTCTATAGTCTAGTCTATAGTCTAGTCTATAGTCTAGTCTATAGTCTAGTCTATAGTCTAGTCTATAGTCTAGTCTATAGTCTAGTCTATAGTCTAGTCTATAGTCTAGTCTATAGTCTAGTCTATAGTCTAGTCTAGTCTAGTCTATAGTCTAGTCTATAGTCTAGTCTATAGTCTAGTCTATAGTCTAGTCTATAGTCTAGTCTATAGTCTAGTCTATAGTCTAGTCTATAGTCTAGTCTATAGTCTAGTCTATAGTCTAGTCTATAGTCTAGTCTATAGTCTAGTCTATAGTCTAGTCTATAGTCTAGTCTATAGTCTAGTCTATAGTCTAGTCTATAGTCTAGTCTATAGTCTAGTCTATAGTCTAGTCTATAGTCTAGTCTAGTCTAGTCTAGTCTAGTCTAGTCTAGTTTATAGTCAAGTCTGTAGTCTAGTCTATAGACCAGTCTAGTCTAGTCTAGTCAATAGTCTAGTCCATAGTCTAGTCTATAGTCTAGTCTATAGACTACTCTATAGTGTAGTCTATGGTCTAGTTATAGTCCACTCTATAGTCTAGTCTATAGTCTAGTCTATAGTCTAGTCTATAGTCTAGTCTATAGTCTAGTCTATAGTCTAGTCTATAGTCTAGTCTATAGACTAGTCTATAGTCTAGTCTATAGTCTAGTCTATAGTCTAGTCAACAGTCTAGTCTATAGTCTAGTCTATAGTTTAGTCTATAGTCTAGTCCAGCGGTTCCCACCGTTTTTTACTTCGCGGACCCCTTGAGGAATTTATTTAATTTCACGGACCCCCATACATATTTTGATATCTTATTGTTATAAATAATTGTTCATCCGAAAATTGTTTTAGTCCTGGTCCATAAACCCTATAAAATATTCCCGTTCATTGAGAATATTTAGTATTTCGGAAATGTTTTCAATTGCATGGTTTTAAATATAGAATGACTTCTAACACGATGTTTAATTTTATGATCGTGAGAGCTTTCATGTTCATTTCTCGTCAAGGTAGCGAAAAGGTTTCTTTATCAAGTATTGCCGACATGTGCTTAAAGAGTCATGTTTCCAAATTTTTTTGCGATTGCATAGGAGTGAGTTGAGTATGTAAGCTAAGTTTTCGGGAAAATATGTGAAAGTTAGACTTCTTCGATGTTGTTGCGGAATGCGTTACCCACATAAAATATGACCTGAACTCTTTGCGAATGTACTGTGAATTTGGATCTTAAATTTGAATTTTAAAATACCTACGAATTATTTCACTGCGTTGTTTTGACTATTTACGCAAAACGCAATGAATTTTCTGATGTTGATTTAATAATATTGGACAACAAAATGAAGTTAAAATCTGTGTATCACGTCGGAATGGAATATTTATATTTAAAATTAACTAGATTAACACTTTTGCTTACAATTTAAAAAAAATATTATGAAAAGGTCACATTTCTTCATATTCCGGGATACCAGTATCTGTATTTAATTCTAAGGCAAATCATTATCCGTCTGATATAAAAACCAGAGACAGTAATTGTTATTATTTTTATTTAAAAAAATTAAAATTACAAATTTTATTTGGTTTGTATTTCATTTCTCAGAAAATACAAATTGCTTTTGATTTGAATTTCTTATATTTTCCGTAAAAATTACTGAGAACTTTTTCAAATAAAAATCAATAATAAAAAACACAAATAATTTTTAAACCATAAGGCACAAATAAAAATCAGGCAATGATTTTTATTTTTTGAAATTAATTATAAAACTCATTATGCGATATTTACCTTTAAAAACACATTAAAAATGATCGGGTTTAAACAGAGATTAATAGAAAATTGGTAAAATTTCTTTACCGCTGATATCATCAACCAAATTTGCAGAAATTAGATTCGAAAATTGGAAAATTAATATTTTTTAGGTGATTTTTATTCTTTGCTTTGAAAAATAAAAATCATTGATTGATTTCTATTTTTTGTTTGAATAAATAAAAATTACTGAATGAGTATTATTAAAAACAACATAAATAATTTTTTATTGAAACAAATAGAATAAAAATCAAAAATAATTTTTATTTTCAATTTTTATTATAAAAATCAAGAAAAAAAGTTTATTGAAGAAATCGATTAAAAAAGGTCTGGGAAATATTTTGGTACATTCAAAACATTTCTAGGACGATTCTTTCATACTGATTTTTTTAAGCAAAAATTTCATAGATAATAATTATTTTCTGTCTCTGATAAAAACATTTATTTCGATACATATACATTTATAAAAAAAATTACAAATCACGTACTACTTTACTTTATAAAAGTAAAACAATAAATTTGTAGGGCCTAGCTTCATCCTGATAAACGACCGAAACAATAAAATTCAAAAAGTCACCAACAAATCTGGGATTATTGAATAAAAATTGTGTATTTTAGTATTTACGAAAAAATTGGAGATATTTTTAATATTTTCTAACATATAGAGAATATTTTTTATTCATGATTTTTTTCGTTCGTCTTCGCGGACCCCCTAGGATTTTGCTACGGACCACTAGGGGTCCGCGGACCCCCTTTTGGGAACCGTTGGTCTAGTCTATAGTCTAGTCTATTGTCTAGTCTATAGTCTGGTCTATAGTCTAGTCTATAGTCTAGTCTATAGTCTATCTATAATCTAGTCTAGTCTATAGTCTAATCTATATTCTTGTCTAGTCTATAGTCTAGTGTCATTACCATATTGGCATTTTTAAGTCTGTTACATAATATTGTGAACGTTAGTCTATAGTCTAATCTATAGTCTGATCTATAGTCTAGTGTCATTACCATATTGGCATTTTTAAGTCAGTTACATAATATTGTGAACGTTAGGCATTTTCTGAAGTTGACCTTATTGGGGAGGGGGGTCAATTATGGACCTATCCTCAGAAAATTTGCAGAGAGAATATAAAACTTGTTTGTGTAAAATTTCGTCGAAATAAGCCAGCTATGAGCTTTAAAGTCATTTTCTGAAGGTGGCCTTATATGGAAAGTAGGGTTAGTTATATACCGTTCCTCATAAAACTTTATAGGGAGATTGTGGTACCTACATTACCATAAAACTTAGTGGAGAGATTTCGGTACTTATAAAACTTGCTTATGGCGAATTTCATCGCCGTACTGGTATTTTTAAGCTAGTGATGAGTGTTTAAAATGTATGCTGGGATTTAGGTGAATTCGTGGCCCGATGTTGCTAATTTTCAATAGCAAACAAACCTTAGAATAAAGAATAGAGGATATTTGTGGAAAATGTTTATCTTCCTTTCTTAGCCTATTGTGGTTTTACGACCAATATTTTCATGTGTTTCAAATGTCACGAAAATATCAATATACGCCACATGTTTCTCTTGATGGTGGGTTTAATAAACTTATTCAATTAGTTATGTTATTATCTTATTTCGTCCATTCAACTCTGACTTGCAATTCAATGAATTTCTTAAAATTAAATTGAAAATAATGTGTAATTTAATCAATTATACTTACTAAAATCAATCAGCAATCTTCCGTAGCCCTTTCTTTGATATGGAGGCAGTGTTAGAATACATGAAACATTATAAAAAGAATTCTTTTCCTGAAATAGTAAAAATAAAAAAGTTTTTTTTTTAACATACTAAAAATCAGCTGTTTTTAATTGCATATGTAAACAAACAAAACGATTAAAGAAATTAGTAAAACAAGTAAGAGTTCTGTACGAATCTTATATACCCTGCACCATGGCGCTTAAAAAACTTTGTTACGAAAAAAATTTAAGAAATATGAGTTGGAAAATGATAAAGTAGAAGATTTTCATTCAATCAGGGCACTGTCTGTTTAATTCTCTATTTCTAGGTTTAATATTAAAAAAGATTCTAAAAGTACAAGTTGAAGAACGAAAAAGAAGCTCCAAATCTTTATCTACAGCTTTTCATTTAATCAGAACTCTAAAATTTTCATTTTCCGAAAAGTACCTTTTGAAAAACGAAAAAGGACCAAAAAGTCCCTTTCTTACTCTGTTTTCTTTTTAAAAATAAGCAAACAAAGTACAATAACAAAATTTACAATATGAAGTTGTATGTTGTTTTTCTTTTTGTCAAAGCATGCACAAATTTTTAATGAAATTTTCAGAGGTTGTCTCGGATTTTTGTTGATATTTCCTTTATTAATGGTCTGATTTTGCTGATTTCAAGTAGCATTCGCCTAGAGGGCATGTCTGATATAATGATGAAGATTCGGATCTCTAAGGTAGATGAGATCTTCTGATAACAGATTTTAACAAAAAGACGGACATCTTGCCTTTTTGTTAAGAAGCGATCGCCTCGAAGGCATGTCTGATATAATTATTGAAGATTCGGATCTCCTAGAATATGAGACCTTCTGAAGACTGAAGATTATCCCACCTGATGATCTTCCCCATCTTGGTGTTATTGCAATCCGCGTGAAAAGAGATGCCTACCAATACCTCTGGTCTTTGAATGATTTGGCCTGCGAAGCAGGAATCATTATAATTTGGTACCACGGAAACTAGCAGAGTTTCCAACTTTGTTTTGCATTGCAAAGGTCCCTTTGGAGTGCACGTGGTAACTGTGGTTTAAACCCAAACTCGCGGGAAGAGAATGTTAGTTAAAATATTGATGCACAGTGATGTCTACGATTTGGGATAAGTTCGATGCTGTTGCCGAGACTACATACACCCCGCAAAGGAGTGACTATGGAACTAAGCGTTGGTGTCAATTGCATTGATATGGGATGGATGTAGGAGTATGTAGGAGCCTCACAAATGCGTATACCTAGAGTGAGTTTGTCGGATAAATGAGAATTGTGCTGGGATGAATGGTAATGGATTACAAGTGATAATATTGAATTTTACTTCCTTGTCCGGGTATGTTCGGGGTTTACACTGTTCATACCAGACTTAACACAGTGTGGTGTCTGTGGGCAAGAACAAGTTTTCGGCTTATTTGATAGATTCGTATTTCGGCCTGACGATAAGGTTTCTAGATTATATTGCCGAAGAAACCGTTTACAACTAGGCAGGTGGTGATGCTTTTGCATTTCAGAAGTTAAGCAACGTGTCAGCCATTTTCAGAGATTAGATAGCACGAATACTTGTATATGGACCGGCAGTAACATGTACAAAAGTTGCCTCCGGTGTGCAAGAAGTACAAAGGGCGGTGAGTCGTCCAACAAGCTCTCCATGTGGTTGTGCAAGTACCACCTTGAAATAAGGCCAACAAGTCAGGTGTTCACGTAAAGCACTTTGACTTATTCGAACAGACGGACATGGCTAAATCGATTCCGCTATATATAAGGACTCATAAACTATATATATTTTATAGGGTCGAAAATTGTAGAAATTACAAACGAAATTTATATTAGAATCGCGTTTTGCTTAAAGGAAATATCCAGGGAATTTTTAGGAATTAATACTGAAAAAGACAAGTGATGGACAGATTTTTTTCACAAATCTAGTAAATTTATAAATAGCTTTTTAACAAAAAAGTCTAGATAAATGTGATTTAGTATAAAAAATTTTGAAAAAAAAATAATTTAGACAAATTTGTTCAATTGCTAAATTTAGAAACAAAAAAAAAAGTACAAAAAAACGCCTTTGATGCGATGGGATGCAATCACACTCTTCAACTATGTATGATGTATTTTTTGGGAGTTCAATGACCATAGATTAATATCTATCTCGTTGGCAATAATGTCTGGGTGTACCTAACATAGTATAGACGCAGAGAAACTTTTGTAATTGTGCGCAGAATAATATACATAAGTTGTACATAGTAAACAAGGATGCAGACACATAAAGGGACAGACAGACAGACAGACACACTCAGACACAAACTTTAAAGGACAACAGCCAGCATCTTTGTATAGTTTTATCCATTACAACAACAACAACAACAACAAATTAGCAAAGGGAGTTTGAGGAAAGGGACGAGAACGATAAGCGGGAGCGGGAGCAGGAGAAAGGGGAGTTATAAGGCAATAATAGAGAAAAGTTTGTAAAACGTTTAAAGAGGGGAAAATTTACAATGAGCGGTAACTGCATTCTAAAGAACAACAATAGTAACAAATAATATAATAGTAATAGTAGTAGACGCAGAACTATATAATAAACGTAGTAGTGATACATTATATAAAATAGTTCATACTCTACATTTATTGTTATTGCTAGACAAATGTTCATCATGTTCATACATACATACATACATACATATATTGTATGAATGTATGAATATCAGTTGTGTTCATATGTAAAAGAAAATTTCATACAAAAAACAATAGTAAAAATATATACAATATAAATAATATACTTATGTATAATACATACATATAAACATATATAGACAATATATGCAGTTTTATGTGCATGTAGTAAAAAAAATACGGTACTACCACCCCCCCCCCCCCCCCCCCATACATTGCTACTACTGCATTACTACTCCCTGCTACAACAAAGGCTATGTTTCCTATTTTTGGGGTTTAAAAACGGTACGTTAGATAATGTGCTATACGATATGTTTGGTAAACTCCCTAATGTTTAAATACAGAGGGTAGACATTTTTTTCAATATTAAGTCTACTATAGAAATTTCATGATATTTTCTTAATTAGAAAAAAGCAACCTTTACAAAAAGATTTGTCTAGTAATTCATAATTATTATGATTTTGGAGTAGCTCGACGAATCGACAGATTATGTATAGCACTCCTTCCTATCCCAACACAATCGCTGATATGTTTACTATAGAAACATATCAGCAGTCGAGTTTGATCTATCGAAAATCTGATTTAAGAGTATTTGAGTCTCAGCAACCCTATCACTCAGCAACCTTATCATTAACTCAGGTATAAAATTTTGAGGTCCACTTTGAAATTAAAAAATTTTCTTTAAAAAAAATTCATCAATGAGTTTGTTTAAAAACTGAATTTTCCGTTTTCTTCTGTACGAAGTATGTAGGTCTACTTGATTAGGGTAATTTCCCTCGCGGAATTACAGATTATGATATTACGACTCTAGACTTCGGGGAGACCCTCATAGAATTTCCAACTAGGAATGATTGGCTTTTATCCGATAGACTGTTTGGTGGGTGTGCAAAGTCTAAGATGGATAACTGCACGGAGGCCAATCTCTATATCGCTGATATTAACATAAAACGGTCCTTCAGATTCCAAGCAGAGTTCCTAGCGATCTGGAAAGCGATGGAACTGATACACATGTTCACCCCCTAAACGTACGAATTTCGAAAAAGTAATTTTTAGGTGTCTATATCACTGATATTAACATAAAAAGTTTCTTCAGACTCTTGGACGATTGTAGCGTATTTCAAGCAGAGATCCTGATACGGAATCATATCGATCCGGAATCAGTAATGACAATTTACATATGTTGTAGTCAATCTGCTCTCAGAGCATTGACTTGTCACATGGTACATTCGCGCCCCTGGTTGTACATTGAAGAAATGGCCTTAGGGACATTATGACTTTGTTTGCCATTAGACTTTGTTGGATGCCGAGGGACTGCAATGTGCATGGTAATAAGCACCCATTTATCACTATTATAGCTTGATATTAGAAATAATCCGTGACATCATAAACCAGTCCTGGAATAGTAGACTTATAGGACTGGATAAACGCAGTGTAAGGATTCTAAAAGGGATGCTAATGGGGCATTGCCCAATTAGGGCCTTTGTTAGAAAGTGGGGCAGTATACCGGATGAAAGAGACGATCGAGCATATAATTTGCCACTGTCCTAGGATATGAAATCTCAGGCAGAAATGGCTAGGGAATAGGTTCCATTAGGAAAGGGGGAAATTTCGGGGTTTAACCCTCGCAGTATACTAGGATTTTTTAAGGGAATTAGTCACTTCTTTGACTGTGCTTTATATGGGACATGGATTTTCTCTCTCATCTCATTATTCTTTAGGTTACTGATTTGGTAAATCTTCTGGGTTATAATCCCTTGGAATAGACCTGTTTCCATTCATCTATCCTTTTTAGCTATTCTTTCTTTCTTGTTTTCTTATAGTGTTTTTGTTTCTCTGTCTTTGAATCTTCACTCTTTGAAGAAAAATCACAATGGCCTTATGGTCTCCGAGTGGATATGTTGAAAATATCCCAGATTTACTTCATATGGAAGATGCCACGATAACCATTACAAGTTCGCCAATTTGTTCCAAACGTTAATTTGGATTATAAAGTAACCTATTGAATATTTAAAGATCCTAGATCTAATAGTTTTCCTGATATACGATTTTTTGTATTTTGCGGTTCCAATGAAAGTCCGAACATTTTTCCCCCAAATGTTCAAATTAATGTTAAAGTTCTTAATTTAAAATTTAAAGTTTCTAACTTTAATAGTATCCCAGATAAACGAATACTAGCTGTTACATATTCTCAGGTATAAAATTTAAAATTTTCTTTATATGGGAGGTGTCATGCCCACTATAGCTAGACCGCCCATATATACAAACATGTCAAAGTTGTTTCTAAAAAAAATGGAGGACTCAAGCTGTTGCAGTTTCGGAGACATGCAACTTTTAATACTTATTTTGTATGTGGGCGTGGCATCTCTTTACACTAGTGAC